AATTTATGTAGGATTCCATAAGGCTCTCTGCTAAGATATGGAAAACGCGGGCCACCTTTAGTTTCCTGTCACTTTGTAATATTGAGTGTGTACTTGTTGAAATTTCTTCTTCCAGTAAACTTCCTGGTCACACCGTGGTGGTAAGTGAGACTCTGAGAAGCGCATTCATTTTCCAAGCCACTGAGGAGCCGTTTTGATCTGTTGAGGTCTTACGAGAAATCCTGATGAGAAGTACCAGGAACCAAGTTGTTATCTGAATACTAGTTTTAGACAGTTTTCAATGTAACATTAGCAGTATCCCATTTTATTTTCAAATTCTCAGAGGGAATTTGTGTCAGTCCCTTTTGTCATTTCCTCTGTCAACTGTTGTTCTACCAAAGTTGTGTCAATTTGAGAATCCATTTGGAAAACTCATGTTAACACCTTTCTTTATCTCTTCCATGGTGCCTCTGAAACTGCATGATGTTTTCCTGGAATGAATTACTTTCTGACTCTAAATGGGAACTTTCTTTTGAGTCCTCTTGATAGTATGTATATAAATTGTTCTAGTTTTTTTTAAAAAGTTGAAGCAACTTTCCTTTAGCGAGAAGTCCTTTCTCTTAGGTTACAGTGACCCAGGCTTGCATGAAATCTTTTAAGTGACAGACTCACCTGGATACAGATGAATATATCTCATTAAATATGACTTTGCAAGGAAGCATGGACACAATTTTTGTATAGAACATAATGATATCCTTGATAGCAGGGATTTTGGTTTTTACCAAATCAAGTGACATTGTTTAAGAAATTCCAGCCTCATTGAATTGTAGAAGGAATCAAGTGGCGTAATTAGAGTTTCTAGTAGCTCTTATCACATAGTAACTTCTAATGAATGTTAAATAAAAAGTGAAAAGCCAAATCAAGGAAAACCCCAGAAGTCTAAATCTCCTTTCTCTCAGCTCACTCTTTTACAGTAGCTTTCTTTCTTCAAATATAATGGTTGCTTATTTTAACTTCTTTCATTTTAAAGGTTCTCCAGTCCTCAGTCCAGCTCATTCTGCAATCAATTTAAGTGACGCTCAGGACCTGAGGGGAAATAAGACTGTCGTGAAACCACTGCCTTTATCTTTGCAGGTTGGAGGGAAGACTTTGGCTGCAGGTGATGTTTTCCTCATGTTTCTTTCATAAATACATAGTTTATAGTGGGCTTGTAGGAAATTTAGTTGGCAGGTTGACAGAAGAAAATGACCGCTGCTTCTCTCTGCCAGTTGAAAAAACAGAAGCAGGACTATCTATGTTGTTCGTTGGTGTGTGACACAGCTGGCCCTCCAGGGTTTTCAGAGTCAATAGATCTTGAGAGGAGATTTGCCTCTTTTTCTCCTGAGGAGCACCTGGTAGACTTGAACCATGTACCTTTAGGCTATCTATAGTAGTCTAGTCTATCTATTGTAGTCTATTATTACACAAAGCCCTGTGACTGCTCTATTCCAACCAGAAGTCAGGGGTTGGCATTTGACACACAGAGGAGATAGAGTAATATGATTCCATTTAAAAGTATTTATTGAACTCCTGCTAGGTCTAGAAACTAGGAATGCAAAGGTTAATAAGTCTCAATCTCTGACCTTGAAGGCATTTGTTAAGAAGAGGGTGAGGTTGACCTTGTACTAACTTTGTCAGATTCTCCAACAAAGTACCACAAGCTAAGGGATAAAACCAACAAACATTTCTTTCCTCACAGCTCTAGAAGCTCAAAATTGCAAATACTCTTAGCACAGTCATCTGGGCTCTCTAAAGTGGTTCTAGGAGAAGAATCTGTCTTTCCTTTGCTCTTGCATCTTCTGGTTGTCCCAGGCATTGCTTGTCTTGTGGCAGCATAACTCATCTTTGCCTCTGTGTGTACTCAGTCGTCTACCCTGTGTGTCTGTGTCTTCTCTTTTTATAAGGACAATGGTAATACTATACTCAGGTTCACCTCACTGCAGGGTGACCCCCTGTTATTGAGCTAATTATATCTCTTGTTGCTGTGGACCATCAACTTGGCGCCAACCCATGGCTGGCCCTCCAGTGGCTTTTTAGAGGCAGCAAATCACATGGGAAGAGATTGCCCTTCTTTTTCCCACACAGGAGCTGGTGGATTTACACATCACTCCTTTGAGTTGGCTTACCACTGAGCCACCAGAGCTCCCACTTACATCTACAAAGATCCAATTTCTAAATAAATTCACGCTTATTTAGAATGTTAAGACTTTAACATATCTTTTGGACAGGTACAATATAACACAGGGTAGAGCAGGGTTTAGGGCTGTGGTACATAAGTGTCACAGGCATCTCTGACAACACATAACAACAGTATAACATATTTTAGGGGCATGGGATAAAAACAAGGAGAACGCAAAGAAAGGAGTCACAACTCAGTATTTTAGAGAATAAATGAGTTCTTGGGAGAGCATGGTTTTGAATGATGGAGAAGTGTTACCTGTACAAATTAGTGGGGAGAAGATATCTCTGATATACAGGGAACGGCAGGAGCAGAAGTTCAAAGAAAGAAGAGCATGATATGTGCAGGCACTGTCAGCAAGTTGGACTTGTTAGATCCTGGTGGTCAAGGGAAAGGTCATGGCCAGCCATGCTAAGAAGTGAAGAATGTGTTTTTTAACTGTTAGAACCGAGAAGTGACTTGATCTTCTTTGAACTTGAGCTACATCTTTTTGACAGCATTCTGTAAGAAGACAAAAGATAAGGAGTTTAGCTCGAGGTCACCTCAGTAATCTTTGTGAGAAATGATGAGGTCTTTGGTCAAGATGACAGTAGAATTGAAAAGGAGGTGACAGATTAGATAACCATCCAGGAAGTAGAAGCAGGGCTTTGACTGAGTTAATGGTGACGTCTGTCATTGCCTGAAATGGGGACCACAGAAGAAAAAGTTAGTTCTCTGGGAGAAGATTCTCACTTTGATTTATGTGTTGAGTTTGACATATTCATGAGACATTCAAGGGGCTATTTCGCTGTTGTTTGATTTATCATAGAAGAAAGTCAGGGTTGTGGTTTAAAACTTAACCTCCAACATGTCATTGAAGTCATGTGGTTGGCCTAGTGGCAAGAAGATGAACTGCAATCCTGCAGATACCCAGTTTGTTGGCCACCAGTTGCTCGGTGGAAGAAGGCTGGGCAATTTCCTCCTGTGCAATTAACTGATTCTGAAAACCTGCTGGAGAGTCAGCTATGGGTTTGTCTGACTCTGCAGTACACAACAACAACAACAGGGCAAGATGTAGGGTGGGAGAAGTTGTGGACTCAGTATACCATCCTAGAAAAGCCCAACCTTTAAGGAGTAGAGAGAAATCAGCTTATCATAGCTGACCCTCCAGCAGATTTTCAGAGGCAGTAAGTCACGTAAGAGAAGATGGCTCATCCTTCTCCAGCAGAGCAGCTGGTGGCTTCAAGCCTTTGGGATTGCAGCACAGCTTCTTACCACTGGCCAACACGAGTACATTCTGGTGCAACGATTAAGCTGATAACCTTTGAATCTACTGATCAGTGTTAACATGATAAAATAAGAGAAAATCAGTGATTATGTCTCTTCTGATGGAAATATAACTGTAATCTGAGACACTCTTGTTCTCGACCCAAAAAAATTTAACCTAAATAGATCACCTCTGCATATAATGACCAGTTTATTAGGAATACAAAGGAAAGAGGATATTGGCATCATTGATTGGTATGTTGTCAAGAAAATTGGAAATTTTGCTATCTTCAGTAATTTCTTTAGAAGGGGAAGAATTGTGTATGTTAAATGAAATTGACCAGTGTACCTACAAGTTCAGTGTATGGAAGCTATTTTTTTTTAGTTTTGATTTGAACAAACCAAAATTATTTCTGAGATAATTGGAAGAACTTTGAATATATATGGTATATTTTATGATACTAAGAAATTATTAGTATTTATTAATTTTAAATTTAATAATGATGTTACAGTTCTTCACATCATTTTGTTTTGTAAATGCATGCTAATGTATTCATGGATTACATAATATGATAAATGAGTCTGCTTCAGAATAATCCAGATTTTGTGTGTATGTGTGTATATTATATATTTTTATGTGCCATCGAGTTGCCTGCCACTCATAGAGACCTTTTGTACAATAGCCCTAAACTCTGCTCTATCCTGTGCCAATCTTACTGTCTCTGACACACCTACCTCCATTACCCCTGTCAATGAATCAGTCTGCCTCACTGAGGCTCTTCCTCTCCTGCACTGTCCTTCCACCCTCCCAAGCATGACATCCCTCTCCAAGGACTGATCCCCCTTTGCAACATGTCCAGAGTGTGTCACATGAAGCTTCAGAATCCTTGCCTCCAAGGAGCAGCCCGGCTTCACCCTCTCCAGGACGAACTTGTTTGTTCTCCTAGCAGTCCATGGTATATTGAATATTCTTCTCCAGCACCACAGCTCAGAGGCATCAAGTCTTCTTCAGTCATCCCCAAGGAGTGAATATGGGGATATGGATAGGTGAAGTGGATTAGCCATATATTTATAAGTGTTGAAGTAGGGAGGTGGATACATAAGAGTTTTATGTTATCCCCTCTGTTTTTGTTTGCTTGAAAACTCATTATACAAATTTTCTTTGCTGCTTTTTAAAAATTTTATTATTTTTTTGTGTGTGTACCGTCAAATTGGATCTGACTGGTACAGGAGGAAACTATCCCTCCTTCCTCGGCAGAGTATCTGCTGCTTTTTTTCTTCTGTCCTTCTGCCAGCTCCAAACACTTAACTAAAAATGGCGTTTGATTACTATAAGATCTCTTGAGGTCCTAAAGAATTACCTTTTAGTGGCATTAAATTTTCACTGAAGGCACTACCTTGATGGTTGCACTTGTTTTTGTGTAAGTTGGCTGTGTCCTGTCAGTAATGTTTCTTTAAATTCTTCAGTTAGATTTTGTCACATGATGGCACCATCACAGAATGCCATGTCCTGCCCACTGGCCCCTCTTCTGACTGGCTTCTCTTCTGTATCCTGCAGACGCTGCTAATGGAGGGAAGAGCAGTGCACCCAGTTCCACTCCGTCCCGCTCAGTGACGTATTCTTTATCACCAAGGCCAAGCTATGCATCAGGAGACCCTGGTAAAAAAAACCCACCTCAGAATCCTAAAGTAATTGTAGCAGAAATTCGGCCATTTTGAAACAGTAAATAACCTGATAACATATTTTTTAGCTTATGAAACAGTGTTTTAAATTTTATAATGCTTTGAAGAAGAGTAATGATTAAATATCTTAGTGATTCTCCAGGAATGAGCATCTCTGAGAAATAATATTAAAACAAATGTTTAAGAAATATTCTCAGAAAGTCATGGGACTTGCTAACTAAGGTAGCTCAACATCCCCCTCTGTTGTGTGACTGAGCAAATGTGAGCCTTCCTCCAGCTGCAAAATGAGTGTAACAATCCTTGTTGAATTACCACTTGACAGGGCTGTTGAGAGAATCAAAGTGAAATAGTCTGCTTGAAGTTCTGAGCTGTGAAACAGTATAGACAGATGTTGGGTGGCATTATTCATATGACTTTTTTCTAATATTAAGAATAGTAATAGAAGGACCAAGAAGCTGTGCTGCAATCCCGAAGGCATGCAATTCAAATCTGCCAGCTGTTCCATGGGATGGCCAGTCTCCTCCTGTGTGGTTCACTGCCTCTGAAAACACGCTGGAGGGCCAGCGATAGGTCCGTCTGATGATACAGTACTCCACAACAATAGAAGAATGAGGCTAGAAGAGGGACTTAGACTTTCTGACTACAGTAAGTCCCTGAGTTAGAACCTCTGGCATAGGGACAACAGTCCCCTGCCCTTTAATTTTATATACATTTGCTCTTCCTTTGAAACAATTATTGAACCCGTTCCTTGGAAGAAATTCTTCTTTGGAATCACTTTGACTTGCTGCAAATACAGCTTTTCATAATACACTGCAAACATTTCAAGCCTTGTTCTAAACTAACCCTAAATAAGAGCTGTATTCACCAACTTAGCTACAGAGTCAGCTAAAGACAGTAATGAACTGATATCGTGCCAACCCAGGGTCTGCCTGTGTACTGAAATCAAAGGCTCTTTGACATCCTTTCTCTTCTTCTATGGCTAAGAGCCATGTCATCTTTTCTCTTTGTATTCAGCTACCATGTTCATTTCGGGGCCACCAAAGAAACGACATAGGGGCTGGTATCCGGGATCACCTGTCCCCCAACCTGGTTTAGTTGTACCTGTTCCTACAGTCCGACCTCTTGCAAGAACTGGTAAGATCTAAGCAGCAGACTGGTTTAATTTTTAAAAAGTCACCAGAGATATCTTTCTACTCTTGTTCTTCCCCTGAACCCATGAAGATGATTTCTCTTGGTAATCATTACTACCAATATTATGTAAGGATATAAATACCCTCTCACATCTGTCTTCTCAACAACCATATTGGTCTTAATTCATTGGTAGCGTTTTCTCTCTAATAATAATATCCATAAACCATTCTTTACATAAGTGATGCTCCCAGCCCTCCCAGATAGGGCACAGATGGACTTGGAATGCTGGTGATGGGATTAGATTTGTAAAGCTCTGGACCCTTCGTCCATGGAGTGTCCACTACTAAGGAATAGACCGCATGTCTCCAGCAGTTAGAATCCACCAGCTATTCTGCCCAAGAAAGGAGACAAGTCTTCTCCGATTAAGATTCACAGCCTCTCAAACCAAAGGAGGGTGACTGTGAGTCAGAATCAACTCAATGGCAGGAGAGGGGGCAGCATGCTAGATTTGCCCTCCTGAGATCGCGTTATGTGCTCCATACTTATCACTTAGGAGCTGGGTGGTTCAGCCTGTAGAAACAAACTTGAAACGTGAAGAACCATCTTGTTCTCCTTGATAATACCCAAATTATGGCCATGAGCACCTGTGGTAAAATTTGTATCTGTCTTGCTGTACTAAATTATACATTTACCAATTCTGAAACATAAATGGAATTCTCTAAAGAAGAAAGTTTCTTTTTAAAAACTACTAAAAATACCCCAAGTTCACTGCCATCGAGTTGGTTCTAACTCAGTCTAACCCTTGGGTTTCCGAGGCTGAGCATGAGATGCAACTGCCCATCTTCCTCCTTCGGAGCTGCTGGTGGATTTAAACCACCAGAGACATGGGGCCTTCAGATTTAGCAGCACAGCTTGCTATGCACTATGCCCATAGATAACAAGTCTGTTCTGGAGGCAGTACAACCAGGTGCTCCTTTGGAGGCAAGCATGGTGCAGCTATATCTCACATACTCTGGGCATGTTGTCCGGAGGGCCCAGTCCCTGGGAAAAGACATCATGCTGGGAGAGGTGAAGGCTCAGAGTGAGGAAGATCCTCAACAAGATGGATTGACCCAGTGACCCTAACAATGGACTCGAGCATATTAGAGACGATGGGGACGGTACAAGATAGGACATCCCCATCATCTCTAATATGCTTGAATCCATTGACCCTGGAGGACATTATGCTGCGTGAAATATCTCAGTCACAAAAGGACGAATACTCCATGGTGCCACTGCTGTAGAATGGGACTGACATCAGGGTTGGGGTAAGACAGAAAAACTGGATAAATTATGTATACTGCATTTAAATAGGTGAGGGAGAGAACAGTTTAAAAGCTATATATGATAGGGAATTATGGTTATCACAAGAGTCCAGAATGAAGGTTGCACAGTGGAGTGTACTCAGGGCGGGGGGAGGGGGGATTGTATACCAATGAAGGAATTTTTCTTTTACTTTTCAAAAGAGAGCCGCAAACTGGGGGGGTTGGAGTGGGTAGGGAGAAAAGTGCAACAATGAATGAGTGGAAATCCAAAAATCTCTGTAAATGTTCATTAAAATTAATAAAATTTTTTAAAAGTTAAAAAAAAGAGAGAAGATAGGACAGAGTTCATATCTATTGTTCTTAGAGTCACCATGAGTCATAGTCAAGTCAGTGGCACATAACAACTACAGCAGTGCCATCAAAGATTACAGAGATGTTATATACAGTGTATTGTGTCAATATGTGAGCAGAGTTCCCTTTAAGCAGTCCTGATAAGTGATTGTATGCCTTTGACAATCTGAGAGCAAAAAGATAAACTACAAAACACAATTCTGAAGATTATATTTGGGGAAAACAACTGGGAAGAAAACTACTAAAATGTTCACTAGTAGCTATATCCAGAAGGTACAATAATAATTTTTTCTTTTCTTTTTCCTGATCCTAATTTTATATAGTAAGCATGAATTATATCAAGAGTGTTAAACTGCATTGATTTTTATTTGACTTCATTTACCTTCCCTTTTAATTCTTACCAAACTTTTTTCCCAGAGCCCCTTTTATCTGGCCCAAGTCCACAGACCCCGTTAAGTGGAATTTTACAACCTCGGCCTATTCCTGCGGGGGAAACTGTAATTGTTCCTGAAAATCTGCTGAGTAACTCAGGAATTAGACCAGTAATTCTGATAGGTAAGGCTGGAAATTCCATGTTATTTGGAATCTGGTAGCATTATTTGCTGCTATGCCTGTATTCATGAATGTATCCATGTATTCATTTGTGACGATATTGATTCTTTCCACTTTTATTGGCCATCTGGTTCATTTTCTGTTGAAAAATGTAACTATGAGTTGGCAATCTGTTTGCTTTGCCCTCAAGGAACATTGTTTAGTGGGGACACCTGGCATATAAATAACAATTACAGCTGAGGTAGTGGAGGTCTATACCCAATAACTCTAAGAGCTCAGAAAAAAAGGGAATTTACCTCTGCTGGATGGGGCTGAGATAACTTTTCTCAGAGATGTTTCAGCTGGGTCTTGAGGGGTTGGTTGGTAAATATGAGCATGATGGGGGATGGGGATGGGGGTGGTGGGTGGGGCGCATTCTATTCAGGAGGATTCAGACAGTAGAGAAAAGAAACAAGCTAAGACAACCAACAGGCTTCACACAGAAGAACCAGAAAGCACCGGAGTTGTAGGCCTGAACTGTGGAGAATAGCTATGAATCAGAATCTGTATGGTATCTAAGTTTTAGGCTGTGTACAAGGGACAGTGTAGACATGTATTATTATGCAAATTTGAGGACTAATTTAACAACACCTTTCATAACCCACCTCAGGAGTTCCCTCAGCCTTGGGACTAGCCTTAGCCAGAAGGAGCCTCTTTCTTTACCTTTATGTCAGAACAAGATGATGAAACATCTGTTGAAACACCAGGTCTTTAGGGTATGGCTGTGCGAGGTGTTACCTGCTTCTTACATTTGGCCCAAGCCTACTGAAAATGGCTAATTTTGCTTCGAGTCCTGTCTTTTATCTCCTGATCCTGGGCCGGTTAATACTTACTAGAGAATCATAGATGTTTAGATTCTCTATGATTTAGGAACTTCTAATTGAGCTTTCACATAGTACCGTTAAGTCTTGGAATTGTTTGCCTTTTGGAAAATCCCACAAAGAGATTGTCCTCCCTGCCATACCACCAAAATAGGATCTATTTCAACACAGCTTTATTCTGTCTATCTCCACTTCCAATATAAGTTGGTGATGTTAGTCACGTAGAAGAGAGAAATAGCAAAAACTGTCTGAAATAAGCAGAAAGAGTAGGAAGTATTAACTATCTTCAGCTGGTACGCTGGTGCTGTTGAACAGTGAATTTCGCTTGCATTTTCTGTTAAAAAACAAAACAGGCAGTGAAAAATATTAAAGAGGTTTGTTTTCTCTCTAACATCTACAGAGATAATTTCTTACCTGAAAAGAAGCCAAAGTAATAATTTGTGGGGGAATGTTTTATAATTGCCGTTTTATAAATGATAAAGAGATGCTTTGCAAACTTTCATCAGGCCTCCATGGAAGAGACATGTTAACATCATTTCTTCAGGCAACAGAAATAATATGATTTGGGTCTTTTGCTTCCTATTCCCCTTGTTTAAGATAACGGTGAGAATGTGAAGCAGCCCAGTGAGTTTCCTGGGATTCATTTCGCAGCAGTTCTCTCAAGGGACAGGGAACTCTGGAAACATCTTTGTGTTCTAGCTGAATGAGTGTACCTTGTTGAATTTAATTTAAAAAAAAATCCTTTTTTGATGTTTGTGTGTATCTGCTTCTGTTGGGACAGGCTATGGCACTTTACCCTATTTCTATGGAAATGTTGGCGACATTGTTGTGAGTCCTCTGCTGGTGAATTGCTACAAGATTCCACAGGAAAATAAAGATTTGGAACAATTAGGGATGACTGGCAGCCAACTCCTGAGTGTGGAAAACATGATTCTTCTGACCATCCAGTATCTCGTGAGGCTGGGTGAGCGGCTTCGGTCACCGTTCGATGGGGACTGTCTCTGTTCTCCTCTGACATTCTTTTTCCATTCTTGGTCTATTTTCTCACATTCATCCCCCCACCTGATTCATTTCCTTCATTATCTTCTACTACTCCTTGACACAGGACTACCACAGTGGGCATATCAGAGAAGGTGCAGATGGCACGGAATAGGGCAGGGTTCAGATCTTTTGTTCACTGGGTCTCTGAGTTGTCAACTCGATGACTTCTCACAGCATTTCTTTCCTTCAGCTTCATTCTCTATGGATGTTCTTTCCTCTGGTCCATTTCTTCTCTGTTCTTCTCTTTGATTTCTTCCACCTGAGTACCATGCTCCTCTTCTATTTCTCTCAGATCCAACCTCCTTTGTCCCTTCATCAGGTCTTGCTATTCTGTGCCTTTGAGTCAACTGTGACTCACAGTGACCTGATGAACCACAGATCAGAACCTTGCCCTGCCCTGCGCCACACTCATGATCTCTGACATGTGCAGGCCTATTGCTGCAGTCACTGGGTCAAACCATCTCACTGAGTGTCTTCCTTTCTTTATCTGACCCTGATTTCTCCCAGGGAGCTCTGTTGGCCTAATGGTAAGAAGCTATGCTGCAGTCCTAAAGGCACGTGTTTCAAATCCACCAGCTACTCTTTGGGAGGACTGGCAACCTCCTCCCGTGCGATTTACTGCCTCTGAAAACCCTCTGAAGGGTCAGCTGTGGGTCAGTTTTGACTCAGTGGCACAGGACACCGCCTTTTCTAGCAGAATCTTTTTCCTTCGGGTTCTGGGAGAGATTAATTGCTCCACCTAGTGTCCAGTCTCAGGATTTTAAGTTCTCCGAAGCAGTCAATGTAGGCAGATCCTGAAGGCCTTGTCCCTTGAGGAAGAGTGGGCCCAAGTCGCATGTTTAAAAAGGTAGCCACCATTTGAAATGCAAACATAGCCCTGCCTTAAAACACCCTCAAACTCATTGCTATCGAATCAGAACCAACTCATTGCTGACCCTCCGGCCAGTTTTCTGGGGCTGTTCAGGAGGAAATGACCCATCTTTCTCCCACAGAGCTTCTGGTGGGTTTGAATCACCAGAGGTACAGTCTTTGGGTTAGAACATTCCTTGCCTTAGGCAAAGATTTTTCTAGTCTTCCACTTAGCCCACCACCATAAGTTCAGCTCATAGCAACCACCCATTGGGTTGCTGAAGGTAAGTCGTTATTAGGTAAAACTACCCATATTTCTCCCAAAAAGCAGCTAATGCTAGTACAAGAAATAAATGAGAGAATTTAAAAGAAAATCAGAGTGAAAATTACCCATGTTCTTGGAAAATGACTTGGAAATTCATTTAGGTGAGTTTCCTAGTTTTTATTTAAATCTCCTAAAAATTGTTTCTGCTGCTATTCACGTTTCTTTAAAGTGTTCTTAGTGTGGAACATTCATCATCTTCAGGTACAACTGCAACATTGTTAAAATGCTTTTCTTTCTTGAAAAATTGCCTCACCCTCCTATCTCCGCCCCTTAGTTAAGTCTGGCAGATTCTGGTCTGGGGGCCAATTCATACCTGCCTCTTGTTTTTATAAATAAAGTTGTGGGGTGGTTTTTTTTATTAATTTTAATGCAAGTTTACAGAGACTTTGGATTTCCATTCATTCATTGTTGCACTTTTCTCCCTACCCAACCTACCCCCCCCCACAGTTCACTCTTCTCTTTGAAAAGTAAAAGAAAAATTCTTTCATTGTTATACAATCCCTCCCCGCCCCCCCCCACCGGAAGTCCACTCCACTATGCAGCCTTTGTTCTGGACTCCTGCCATGACAATAATACCTAATCACATAGCCTTTTTTTTTT